GCAATCCCTTCTCCTCCGTTCTCCTCTCAGGATCTTGGGCACGCACGCACACGTGCCCGGCGTGAGTTTAAGCGAACGGGTCCAGGACTCGAACCGCGGTCGACTACATGGGAGTCCAGCGACATAGCCATTACGCTAACTGCTGGTCCATGATTGTGCATTTTTGGCCTATATAATCTCCATTCCCCTTTCACTCGGGGCTGCGGGGTTTTGAGAGACATGAGTCCTCTGTATGCCTCTGGCTTAATCAATAAACTCCAATAAATTTGGCTATGTCTGGATGTCCTCTTATTTCTCACTGAGTAGACTATAACAGTCCAGAGGTTTGTACTTCTTGCCCTTGTAGAATTTCCTGAGGTTTCTTTCTGAGTCTGGTTAATGATGGTGAGAACACGGGCAATGGATTTGGGGAGAACTTGGATCTTGGACAACTTGGACGCAGCTCTGCCTGTCACTTTGGCAATGTGCAGCTGGGACAGCTCCACCTTCCGTCCAACTGTTTCAACAGCTTCTCTTTGTTCTTGCCATGCAAATCCTGAACCTTAATTTTGCTATAGCTGCCCAGTGCCGCCGCCGCCAGTGCCTGCTCCAGCTGATTCCAATTTTCTTGGCAACATCCAGAGCTTCATACTCAGGAGCCATTGTACATATGCCTTCTTCTCTCCTTCAGGTCTGATCAGGGTGCTGAGTTTGGGCACATCAGTGTCACAGACCTTCTTCATAGCCTGTTTGATCAGGTGTTTGCTGGCCTTAACATCCACAGTGAACACAAGTGTGGTGTTTTCTGTCTTCTCCACTGGACACTTAGTGTTCAGGAGCAACTTGATGATGGAATAGTGGTCAACCTAGTTTATCCTTGGGGCACTTTTCTGAGAATGATTTGGGCTGCCTCTGGAGCCACAGTGTCTTGGGACACCAGAAGGTGGGTGGGTGATGTGCAGATCTTTTTTTTTTTTTTTTTAAATTTTTTTTTAAGGAGAGGTTTTTGCTATAGGGCATGTGTGCTTGCCAGACAGACAGACAGAAAGTGAGAAATCATTACCCAGGGGGGATGGCCACGCCACAATCCCTTCTCCTCCGGTTCTCCTCTTGGGATCTTGGGCACGCACGCACACGTACCCGGCGTGAGTTTTAAGCCACCAGGTCTGGGACGCGAACTGCGGTCGACTACATGGGAGTCCAGCGACATAGCCATTATGCTAACTGCCGGTTCCGTGCAGATCTTTTTTTGTGGCTGTGGACACCTTTCAACACTGCTTTCTTAGCCTTTGTTTTGGCTTCAAATGGGAGGAGCAGGAGCTTTTCTTTGCTTTCAGCGCCAACTTGGTAAAAAGAATCGCTCCATAATATATGTATTTTTCAATTGTCACATTTCGGGTGCACTCACCAAAGAGAGAGAAAGAGAGAGAGAGAGAAAGAACCCTTGGGGAGGGGAGCAAGTGTGTTACAATGCCATCTTCATTTCTACATCCTGTTAGAATTCTGGGCACTCAAGCACACATACCAAGTGTGTTTTCTAAGCCACTGCGTCTGGGATTCAGATGGCAGTCAGTTATTTGGGATCCGGCTCCCTTAACCACTGGGCTGTAGGCAATAAATGTTTCCTTAATATTGTAAAGCTTATATACATTCCAATCTTGTTGTTGTTAATGCCCAGAGGGCATATATACTCATCAGAGAGAGGCAGGGAGAAGAGAAGGTAACTCCCACTAGGGTATTGTCATGCTGCAATTCCTTCTCCTCCATTTCTCAGTCCCAGGATTTTAGGTACATGCACCTACCATGTTTTTCAAGCTGCCCAGATCTTGTACACGTACACACACATACACACTGTGCTTTTCACGCCACTAGGTCCTGATCTCAAACCATGGTTGGTCATGTGGGAGTCCAGCAATATAACTGCGAAGCCATCTGCTGGCCCTAAATTCCAATTTTATAACCTGATTCAGATATATAATTTTTTTAATAGTAAAATTATGCATTAGTGACAGTGCTCAGCTCTTTTTCCTTGGGCTTAAGGCACTATATAGAGAGAGGCTGAGTATAAAATCCTCACAAATCTGGATTAGTTACAGAAAAATCCATTATAATTATATAGGACTTTAAAAATCTGACCCATAGTGCTATTTTTTTTTTTTTTTGGGAGGTTTTTTCGCTATTTTTTTTTTTGAGAGGTTTTTTCGCTATAGGGCGCGTGTGCTCGCCAGACAGACAAGACAGACATAGAGACAGAAAGCGAGAAATCACCCCCCAGGGGGGATGGTCACGCTGCAATCCCCTCTCCATTCTCCTCTCGGGATCTTGGGCACGCATGCACACGCGCCCAGCGTGAGTTCTAAGCCACTGGGTCCGGGACGCGAACCGCGGTCGACTACGTGGGAGTCCAGCGACATAGCCATTACGCTAACTGCTGGTTCCCCATAGTCCTATTTTTTTATTTTGCTGAATGACAGGATACTCACTTCATTCTCTTTTGTTAAACTACATCAATGGTTGGAGGTCAGGAGGTGGCATGATGGTTAAGGCGTTGGACCCGCACATGGCTGACCACAGTTTGAGTCCTGGACTGTGCTGGGAGCATTTGGTGCATGCCTAAAAACCCGAGAATGAAGGGACTGTGGCACAGCTATCCCCCTTGCTGGGTAATTTCTCTCTTTCCTTCTCTGTCTGTCTCTGGTAAGTGCATGCACCCTATGGTCAAAACCTCAAAAAAATTTTTTTTTAAATTATGCTTCATATACCAAAATCCTGATAAAGTCAGTTGCTTTACCCCACATCCCCTGCAGATGCACCATCCTCTGCTCTAGGAACTCCGTTCCCTCTAACAAGAGCATCTATTACTCTGGGAAGTACTTGGCCCTCTGTGCTTTTTTCCCAAAGCACTTAATAAATGATTATATTACTATTTTTCTTTGTAGATTTCTTATTTATTTATTTATTTGGAGAGGTTTTTGCTATAGGGTGCGTGTATTTGCCAGAGAGACAGAAAGCAAGAAATCACCCCCTGAGGGAGGGGTGTCCACGCTGCAATCCTTTCTCCTCTAATCCTTTCTCCTCTTGAGATCTTGGGCACCCACGCACACGTGCCCAGTGTGAGTTTAAGCCACTGGGTCTGGGACTAGAACCGTGGTTGACTACACGGGAGTCTAGTGACATAGCCATTACGCCAACTGCTGGTCCCTATATTACTATTTTTCTTATCGAGAAACTATTTTGTTACACTAGAGCCTTAAGAGATTAGGGGTTGCTAAGAACATAAAGCCACTGATGTATTTTTATTTATTTTTTTAGAATTTTTTTTTTTTATTATTGGGGCCAGCACGTGGTATAGTGGTTAAGGTACTGGACTCCCATGTGGCCGACTGCAGTTCGAGTCCTAGACGTGACGGCTTGAATCTCATGCTGGATGTACGTGTATGGGTACCCAAAATCCAGAGAGGAGGATGGAAAAGAAGGGATTGTGGCTTGGCCATCCCCCTGGGGGTAGTTTCTTGCTTTCTGTCTCTCTGACTTTCCAGTGACTGCATGTGCCCTAAAGCAAAAATTTCTCTCTCTAAAAAATACACACACACACACACTTCAATAGTATATATTTATTATATATATGTGTGTGTATATATACATACAGTATACATATATATACACACATATATGTGTGTGTGTATATATATACATATATATATTATATATTATATATGACAGAGAGACATAGAGACAGAAAGCAAGAAATTGCCCCCCGGGGGGGATGGTCACGCCGCAATCCCTTCTCCTCCATTCTCCTCTCGGGATCTTGGGCACGCACACACACGCGTCTGGCATGAGCTTTAAGCCACTGGTCTGGGATGTGAACCGTGGTCGACTACGTGGGAGTCCAGCGACATAGCCATTATGCTAACTGCTGGTTCCCGGGCCAATATGTTTTTAAGTCAGTTAGGCGGGGGTCCATGTTGTGGTTGGCTGTATGGGGTTCGGCTTTCTTAACTACTAGGTTATGGGACTAGATGCTGCACTCACTTTAATAGCACTTTGTCGATTCTGCAGGTTTTCTACACAGATGGTCATGTTGTCTGTGAATAATGGCAATTTTAATTTTATGTTTCTAATGTGGGTGCCTTTTTATTTCTGTTTTGACTTTTAATTCTTACTGGAAATATAGTAAGACTTATTTGTTTTTGTATTCCTCCAGGGGTTCTGACCATATCTTTGTTCCCTTAATTTTATTTTTAGATTATATGTAGCAATAATATTGTTCTAAAAGTCAGAACTGTATAAAAAAGGTGTACTGAAAGGTTGTCTTCCTATCTTTTTGGTCATGATTTCTATCTTTTCATCCTTTATACACCTGTTCCCACATAACACATAAATTACACTTTTAAGTCCTGTCTAATTCATAGTCTTTACACTTTGAGTGTTTCTCACTTATTTCATCATTTCTTTTTTAAAAGTAACTGCCACCTTCTCCCACCAAAGTTTTACCCAATGTATAGAAATTCCTTCTTTACAGAATCTGGAACACACTGGTAGACAAAGATTAGAGCTCTGGCAGTTTAACCTATTCTAGATGTCTCACGTCAGAAAGCAGAGGAACATAGGTGGATTAGTGCGAAAACCCTGGGCACCGTGGCCTCCCTGCCTGAGTCCATTTCTGGCTGTGCCTCGTGTTTGCCAGATGACCCCCTCAATTCTGTCAGGTAGCACATGACCATGGTAATTGTACCTTCCTCATAGGTACCTGTGTGCTAAATAAATAACAGTGTAGAACCGAACTGGGCAGCACAAGGGTCTCAGCAGACTTCATAGCATCCCCTCCTCCCATCGTCTCCCCTATGATGTTAAGTATGTGGGTGTCATTGAGGGCAGATTTAAATAAAGGGTAGGTGATGTCATTATCTTAAAAGATGCTTAAAAGATGTGAAGCTTAAAAGATCAGACTGATGTTACTGTTACTTGTCATATCTGTTCAATTATAATAAGAATTTCCTTTTTTCCTTTCTATCAAGCCAAACTAGCAAGACGCAGTCAAGAACGAGACAATCTTGGCATGTTGGTCTGGTCACCTAATCAGAATCTGTCAGAGGCAAAACGTAAGTCTAGATCACGTTTATTTTCTACCCTTGTTCTTTAAGGGTTTAAAGGCATCTTTGTAGCTAATCTAATATGCAGTACATATTATGTTTTCTCTCATGTTCGTAAAAAAATAATTTGTAGAGTTTGAAAGTGTGTATTTCTTTTCTGTGGCCTGTCATGATTTAAAGATTTCTAGCATGTGTTTTCATAATCTTGTACATGGTTCAGAATGCAGAAGAAACTAAAAAGTGGAAGGAAAATTATAATGCAGTGTGCCAGACAGAAATTTATACATTTCTAAAGACAAGTTGAGTTTTTAATTTGAAGGATTGCAAAGGGCAAATGTATGTTATTGGAAATAGGCTCCAGATGACTTCAGCCTAGCTTGAAATAAAACTTTTCAATTGGCTGTTCAACAGCACTTCAAATTTTATTAAATATTCTGAATTACATTACATTCTCTTTTTTTGGGAGGGGAAGGGTTCAAGGGTTCTATAGCTAGTAATAATAAAAATTATAATTTCTTTGTCCTGCTCAAAAGATATCTTAATTTTATATCTGATGTATTGCCTAAAGTCTTTGCTGTTTGCAAAATCTTCATTTTGTTCATAACTTAAAAGAGAGAAGACATACTACATCCCCTTTTTGAGAATTTTTCAGTGGGCGGAGCCATAACTGACATTTATGGGATTAACTCAGAAATCACATGTGAAGATTTTGATATAAAACACATTAGTCTGGAGGACAGAATTATAGGGGTCTTTGACAAAAACATGTTAAGAATTACTGATCTAAAATATGGTAGGGCTCAGAAAGCCATCAGAGGTAAATGTTCATAAAGAATCTATAAAATTGTGAGTAAAAGCTGGACCTCTTAGACTTCAGTCAAAATTTTTCAAATTATGTTTTGCAGTATTAGAATAGGTATTACAGGTCCCCAATGCCAAATCAGTGTGAGAGGTATTGCATATGCTACATCCTCCTCTTGAATATTTAAAATCTGTGTTAGCATCTTTTTAGATTTTTGTCATGCACTCACAGGAGAGAGAAAGAGGGAAAATACGAAATCACCCCTTGGAAATGGCCATGCTACAATCCCTTCTCCTCCATGCTTTCCAAGCTGCCAGGTCCAGGACTTAAATGGTGGTATCTGCCATGTGAAATTCAGCACCTTACAACCACCGTCCTCACCCCCTTCGTTAGCATCATTAAGATGCTAAGAGCTCATTTGATAAGGGAATGTGTTTAATTTTGACCCAGAGGGATCCCTTTTTTTGTACAGTGCCCTTCTTGGAACATGGGACTTGCAACTACTCTTATTAGTAACATTAAATTTAACAATAATAAAATACTCCTTAGTCTTATCTGAGTTTTAAAAAGAGCACCTGGATTCTACCACTACCTGGCTGCTGCTTTATGAGCTTATACCACAGGGAGCAGAAAAAGAGTGCTGGCATTTTATGATGCATTTACCAGGTTTGGGGAAACTTTTTTTTAGGTATTTTCTGAATTTTTCCTCCCTGCTTTGAGTACTTAAAGTAATTTGGAAAAGCAATTCTACTCCATTTTTGAACAAGTTGTTCTTTCTTAACAGAGAGCTAAGCATCTGCTTCCCTCTAATTTGTAAAGCTTTGTTTTCCTGAACTCTGATAAATCTGATTCCATATGAGTCTTATAGATGTTCAGTCATCTTAGTTTTTTACTGTCTAAGTTTAAGTTAAACTTGTCTAGTTGCTTCAGATTTTTAAAAAATTTTTTAAAAAGTTATTTATTTAAATTATTATTATTATTATTATTATTTAATTTGCTATAGGGTATGTGTGCTCATGGGGTGGGGGTGGAGAAAGGGAAAGTGAAAAGCAAGCTGCCAGGTTCAGGACTTGAACTGTCAGCCATGTGGGATTCCAGCACCTTAACCACCATGCCACTGGCTGGCCCCCAAATAGTTTGGGTTTTAGATCTCTTTTCATCTCTGTTGTTCTCCTCGATGTATTCCAGTTGGTCAAAATGCCCATTTTAAATTGTGCTCAGATGGAGTATTTGTAGAGCCTTTATACCAGAGTGGTTTCAGTGCTCCTCCACAGTAACCCAAGGGGGAGTTTTCACCTCTGTCTTAAGCATTGCATTCTGTGGCACTAGGGGGCTGTGATAGTGTGCAGACGGGAATTTCTGGGGCCAGGGATAAGGTTCTTCATTCCTGGTCATGCTCCAAGTGCTTGACCCCTCATCCGAGTTCATTGCACCTCTGTCCTCTGCCATTTCAGGCACTATCCTTCTGTTATTGTAGTTTAAGATTGGATTAGTCCTTTTTGTGATTGTGTTAGCTCTTGGAGTCTTTAAAGCTATCTTACCTAGACCCAGAAGGAAAGAGAAGAATATGGAAAATTAATAAATTTTTAAACAGCAGAATTTTCTGTAATAAATTTGCAGTTTTACAATGAACCCTGCCAGTATTAATTAAAATTTTGAACTTTAAAAACTAGCCTAGGTATCAGCAGTTGGCATAATGGTTATGTCACTGGACTTCTATGTAATCCACTGTGTTTTGAGTTCTGGACCCAGAACTTTAAAACTCAGGCTGAGCGTGTGTTGTGCGTGCATACCCAAAATCCCAAGAGGAGAATGGAGGAGAAGGGAATGTGGTGTGGCCATTCCTCCTGAGGTGATTTTTCTCTTTCTGTCTCTTTTTCTCTCTCTCTCCCCAGTGAGCGCATGTGCCCTATATAAAAAAAATCTCTCTTAAAAAAAACCCCAAAAAACATAAAAACTAGCCTATGGGGGACCAGAGATGGTGTGGTGGTTAAGGTGCTGTACACTCCCACATGGCTGACCACGGTTCAAGTCCTGGACCTGGTGGCTTGCTTTCTCACGTTCCCTCACTCTCTCTGTGTCTCTCTCTGGTCAAATTAAATGAATGAATGAATAAAATAAAATTTAAAAAAAAAAACTAGCTTAAAGGTAACATTTGTTCAGAAAATGCAGAAAAATATAAAGAAGTAAAAGCACACACATTTTATCATTCAGAGATCATTATTAGACATTTTGCAGGTGTTTATTTTTTCTCGTGTACATGTGTATATGTGTGTGTGTATTTTTTTTTTTGGAGAGATTTTCACTGTAGGGCGCGTGCGCTCGCCAGACAGACAGAGAGAGACATAGAGACAGAAAGCGAGAAATCACCCCCCAGGGGGGATGGTCACGCCGCAATCCCTTCTCCTCCATTCTCCTCTCAGGATCTTGGGCACGCACGCACACGCGCCCGGCGTGAATTTTAAGCCACCGGGTCCGGGACACGAACCGCGGTCAACTACGTGGGAGTCCAGCGACATAGCCGTTACGCTAACTGCTGGTTCCCTGTATTTTTATTTTTTTATTTTTTATTTTTGGAGAGAGATTTTTGTGATACAGTGTGTACGCTTGCCAGACAGAAAGCAAAAAAATCACCCCCCAGGTGGGATGGCCATATCACAATCCTTTTGCCTCTTGGCATTTTAGGCACGCTCGCACAAGCACATGGTGTGTTTGTTTAAGCTGCCAGGTCTGGGATTTGAACCGTGGTTGACTACATGGGAGTCCAGAAATGTAACCATTATATTTTCTGCTGGTCTCTTTCTTGAGTATATTTATGTGAGATAATGTTATGTCTTTCTTTACATATGTGCCTATGTCTGTGTGTGACTTTTTTCTTTTTTTTTTTAAATAGAAATTTTTGCCTTGGGGCATGTGTGCTTGCCAGAGATAGAGGGAAAGTGAGAAATCACCTCCCCGGGGGGTGGGGGGGCTCACTGCAGTCCCTTCTCCATTCTCCTCTTGGGATTTTGGGCATGCACACACGTGCACCTAGTGTGAGTTTCAGTTGTTCGGTCCAAGACTTGAACCACAGTTGAGTACATGAAAATCCAGCTATGTAACCACTACACCATCTACTGGTCCTCAGTATAAACATTTTTAATAACTCGGGATCAGCAGTTATTGTAATGGCTATGTCACTGGACTCCCACGTAGTTGACCGCGGTTTGAGTCCTGGGCCCGGTGGCTTAAACTCACGCCGGGCGTATGTGCGTGCGTGCCCAAGATCCTGAGAGGAGAAGGGAGGAGAAGGGACTGTGGTGTGGCCATCCCTCTTGGGGGGTGATTTCTCACTTTCTGTCTCTCTGCCTGTCTGTATCTTTCTGGTGAGCTCACACACCCAATAGCAAAACAAAACAAAACAAAACAAAAACAAAACAAAAACCTCTTAAACAAAAAAGGATATGGATGTCCTATTGGAGAATATTTGGAATCTTGCAATACTTTTTTCCAACTCTAAGAAAAAGGTGATCATTCTTTTTCTTTCTTTTTTTCTAGGGACAGATTTTTGCTATATGACACATGCACTCACTGGAGAGACAGAGACAGAAAGTGAGAAATCACCTCCTGAGGAGATAGCCATGCCACAGTCTCCCCGCCACCAGTCTTGGGATTTGGGGCATGCACAGACATGTGCCTGGTGTGAGTTTTAAGCTGCTGGGTCCAGGACTCAAACCGTGGTTAACTATGTGGGAGTTCAGCTACATAACCACCACACCATCTGCTGGTCCTATAGTGATCATTCTTATTTCTTAGGATAAATCCCTGGAAACAGAATTCCTAGGTTAAAGGACAATTACGTAATTTCTTGTTTTCTTTTTTTTAATATAGGTTTTACTTTTTTTTTTTTGGAGAGGTTTTCGCTGTAGGGTGCTCGCCAGAGAGACAGAGAGAGACAGACAGAAAGCGAGAAATCACCCCCCCAGGGGTGATGGCCATGCGGCAACCCCTTCGCCTCCCTTCTCTTCTCAGGATCTTGGGCACGCACGCACACACGCCCGGCGTGAGTTTTAACCCACTGGTCCGGACGCGAACTACGGTCGACTACATGGGAGTCCAGCAACATAGCCATTATGCTAACTGCTGGTCCCTAAAATAGGTTTTACTTTTAGAGCAGTTTTATGTCTACAGTCAAACTGGGTAGAAAGTGTGGAGAGTTCTGACTGTC